GACCACACTGGAGGGTTTTACCTGGTGCATGTGTTTGGAGGTGGGAAAACGTGTAAAGCACACAGAAAAGGCACGGGCCGCACAGTAAACAGACCCACGAGGCTTGAGTGTTAACGTGCCACACAACATCATATTATTCATCCTTCAATAAATCACTCTGACACATCTGTCTCTCCACTTCAGAGTCACACAGAAATGATGCCAAAGGTGACTGTTTCAAACATTCATCCATTCGACTCTTGAATTTGCAATCCAGCGAGTACATACCGACTGGATATGTTGTTCCTTTGATATTTACAGCAGAGTCCAAAGGTGTTTTCGAATGGTATTTTCTGAACCCTTCTAAAAAAACATGGTTCTTAGAGCAGCTGTGTTAGTAAACTGTTGGTCGTAAAAGGCATCTTTCACAGCAAGGCCAAATTACATATTTTAAGCTGTTTTTAGAAAGTTGTTTGTTCCTTCACTTGAAAAGAGAAGTGTCTAAATTTAACTTTACCATAGAATCCTCTCAGCAATTCTGTATTTAGTGGCAAATCCAACACTTTAGTTTGTTTGAGTCTTGGTATGATTGTTTGCAAATTAATCCCTTCAATTAAGACTCCATGTGTTTATCTAGAGTGAAGATACAGCACTTATCGTAGAACATCTTTTGTTTGTAACTCTGGATGTGTTGGCAGCAGCATAACAATCTTTTCAACTCGATTTAATGTATTTATGCATAGCCTCAAATCACAGCAGCAGTAGTCTCAGAGGACTATACAAAGTTGTCGATTGACCAACAACAGATTAGAGGATCAAATAGTTCAAACTAGGGACAGGCATGACCAATGACCATAGATGTTAATAATCTTATCATTTGTTGTTATCGTCCACTGTGTCTATTTCATCAATTGTGTTTAATCAATTATAAGTAAGTAATCTTTATTTATATACCACCTTTTCACTGCAGATCTGAGTCTCAAAGCGGTTTACAATTGTTAATTTTGGGCATTTGTCTCTCACTCCACACAGAGATGGGAGCGGGGTCGCCAGTACAGGAAGCACATGCCAGAACTAATGGACATATTTATATTTTTAGTGGTAGGGGAAACCGGAGTACCCGGAGGAAACCTACGCAGACACGGGAAGAACATGCAAACTCCACTCAGAAAGGCCCTGGTCCGACCGGGAATCGAACCCAGGACCTTCTTGCTGAGAGGCGAGAGTGCTATCCACTCAGCCACCGTGCAGCCCACGGCATGTGAAGTAGCTATTTATGTATCTGTATTATGTATCTGTTATAAATCCAATAATAAGGTAGAAATGATCAGTATAGCTCTGAAACAGCATTTGACCTTACCAGCCGGAGCTCTCCAAGGTGCTGAAGCTTCTAATTGCTTTGGTTTTTGGTATATTGTAAACCCAAGGAACAAGATGCTCAATCAAATGTTCATGTTGTCTATGTACTTTCTGATCATGTATTCCATTATACTGTTTTACTGTCGCTAACACAGGCATTTATCTTCCTGTGGTATTGCATGTTGGAATCACAGTACAGAGCTGAGAACGGGTCATTTTAATGTAATTTGGGGTTGGCTTCCTGACCTGCTTCTCCACAGTGTGTTTTACCACACCCTCTATAACTCACTGCCCATCACAGTGCGCTGTTGTTGGGAAAGTGCTTTTCTTATTGGTTAAGTGCTTTCAAACACAGACCATTATTTGTCAGGGCTGGCTCTTGTGATTTGTGGCCGCAAAGTTGATGCAAGGTTTTACAGGAAACGGAAAATAGGATTTCTGAGGAAAAATGATCCGCCGTAGTCTCACTGACCTGCAAATAATGTGTGTGCATAACAATGTAATAATTGTTACACACAGTTAATTGAATTATTTGGTAAAAAAATAAAAATTAAAAAAAAGTTGACAATCCTGAACTGATTAAGGCACTTGCTGTACATCGAAAAACATACAAATTGGGGTTAAAATGTCATATATTTGTAAATAAAACTATGAATCATATATTCTCTATATTCAATATACATTTAAGTGTTTTTTTCAAAAGTAAAGACAGGATTTCTTAATTAACGGTAATAAAGGGTAGATTCACTCCCGATAGATGAATGTTTTAAATTCTCTTTCCATGGTCTTAACATCCATGAACTCGCTTAACTTCATTCTATTTAACGCCTCTGTCTAATGCTTCTTCGTCCTCTTCTTCTTCACTCCAATCACAGCATGAGCTCATTTGTCTTTATACATTCTTACTGTGATCCATAAAGTGCGATCTATGAATAGATCCAGCTGCCACTTGAGTATCAAAGGGTTAAAACATAAAAAGACTCTACCATCTTAGAATAATCTATGTTTTGAATAATAGAAAAACCATATGTGTTGTTGTACAGTGTGGCTTCATAGAAAATCCTCTTCTATCTTCTCAGTGGTCTCGTGAGTCATGATGAAGTCAACCCCACGTGGAGCTGCTATCGATTGGCTAACAGGATCACCTTCTGGCCATCATCTCCAGGCCTCATTAGCAAAGGCTTATTAGCTGAGTGTGGGGCTATTACAGCACAGTGAAGCTGAAACCATTGGCGAATGGGGAAACACATTTGATCTTGGACTCTTCATGGCTGACAGACAATGCCCTGCTTAACTACAATACAGTGGTGGAATAATGAGGTAATTGACTTGAGTTATGCTTTGTGTGAGCTCAGACATGTTTTAAGTAAGATGGAAGCAACACAAATACTTCTTGGAAATTATTTTTTTTTAAGATGACCCGAACATAATATAAAATGTTGTCCTTAAACCCACGTCGCTGTCTCATTTCCTTTATCCAGATATTGTGGATAACATTGAATACAGTATATGTTTCTATTTTTACAGAGTCCTGGATCTAAAGCCTGTCCTTCAGTGGGATCGCTCTCTCAATATGTGTCTTCCGCTAAAGATTTCTCCTTTTTTCCCCAATGGGTTTTGGAGTGGTTCCTTGCCAATGCAGGAGGGTCTAAGGACAGTAATAATCTGGGAAATTTAAGGACCTTCATAGACATTTATTACCATCACGGACATTGGATATCTCGCCCCATATGGACCAATGGCTCCGATGTGTTTGCATTTCCTGTTTTCGAACGGTTTGATTCTCTGATTGAATTGAATTAATGTATGCTGTAGAAATTTGTCCTTACATTTAATAAGAACAGCTGAGAACAGGTCCAGATTCGACGCAGGGAATAACATCCTGTCTGTATAAGGCTAACCATAATGCTTTGTTCTTGTTATAATTGTTTCTTTGACATATGACTCACATCAGACCCCTGCATGCCTTGAGCTGGTCGAATGCACATAGTATACATATTACATCGATGCCATTTGTCTATAGAGATCCTGCAGGACTTGTCAGACATAACATTACAAATGATGTGAGAGACTGAGCCGTGATGACAGACACATACAACACTCTCAAAACATTTATTATGTATCGGCCTATCGCATACACACTCAGGACGTGTCTATACCAACTGCAAAGCCATGAGTCAACACCTCGACATGTGATTTGTTTGGCAGATCACAGTCCAGCGCACAGCTCAGTGATCTGAATTTGATCTGCATGTTTTGTTGTCTCCCGGTTTATACTCTTAGCATCCCATTGTACTGGATAACAAGTGCCATCATGCTGTCACCTCAAAATCATACGTTTGCAGCGTGATTTTTGTTGCCTAAGAATAAGCTGTGCATGTGTGCAAAATGTACAGGCACATCCCAAAATGGATGAGCTATTTGGAGATAGTTAGAGAGACTGCAGAGATTGTCTCATATTCCTCGATCACATATTGAACAGAATAATTTCCATGGTCAAAAAGAATATTTGTTAGCTGTTTTCCCGGCTATAGATTTATGAATATGTACCATGAGGATTACAGGTACAGGTTGGAAGATGATTGAGGCTTTAAACTGACTTGTGCCACCAAATCTCCATCAGGACAACCTTAAACTAAAAAAGCCAAAGCGGAAATAGAGTCTGGAAGAAGAGGAGAGCGGTTCTCAGTGTTCACGACTATCTCACCTGCCACACTAATCCTAATTCCAGAGGTTACTTAAAATTCAGCGTACATGCCAAAAGTGGTTAACAGCACTTGAAATAGAGAAAAAACTGTTTGCTGAAAGACTAATAAATACTAAGGTAAACTATGCTATGGTAACTTGCACTGGCTCTGAACCTGTCCAAGTCTAGTCCAGAACTGAACTTATACTTATTAAGAGTTTACTCACATTTCCAAAATAAAAGATAAAATCACAGAAAATAATGATATAGAAAAAAATTACATGTAGAAACAGAAAAGATGACTTATAGTTCGGGAAGACCAAAAACATACATGAGCTGAGAAAATCTGCTTCCAAAACGAAAAGCCGCCACATTGACTGCTCTGGGAGTTCTAGAATGAATTATGCCTTCACCATTACAGCACAATCATATCACTGTTTCCACTGATCTCCCTCCATTGTCTTCAACACGTGTCTCTCTCCTCCTCTCGTGCGCAGAGGCAGAGGACCTCCCGTACGCGCGCTCCTGCTGCTCCTGCTCCTGCTCCTGCTCCTACTGCTGCTGCTGCGCCTCTCGCTCCACTCCAGTCCATGTTTTGCCCTGCCCTTCTGTCGCTCCGCTCGTTGCGCGCCGTGTGTCTCTCTCCACGCCGCATTCCGCTTCATCCACAGCGCACAGGGCAGCTGGAGAACTTATGCGCGCCCAGACATCACTGGAATAACCGGGTCTCTCCATCTATTTGCGCTGGGAACCTATCCACCGCTTCTTTTTTAAAAATGATTATTATTATTTTAGCAATGTGGACGTATCCAAAGTGAGGAGTGCGTGCATCTCTCGGATTGGAAAACAATTCATCATTAATAATAACAACAACAACAACAACATCTGGGATTTCTTTTTTGTTTTGTTGTTTTATTTTAAACATCTTTCAGAGCCCCGCGTCGTGAGCTCGCCAAGGATTTGACTGATGTATGCGATGTGGAGACTGCAGCTCGCCTTATGCACGCTGTCGGTCCTGTCCCTGTCATACGCCGTTGGTGAAGGCAAAGCGAGGAGCTGTAGCGAGGTGAGACTGGCTTACAGCGCCAAAGGATTCAGCCTCGCCAATGTACCTCATCAGGAAATATCAGGTGAGAGGAGACACTTCCATGCAGGACCCCGCTTGTCTGTGCGTGTTTGCGTGTGCGTCCATGTGTGGCGCAAACCAGCGACTTTTGCGTCTTTGTGCCAAGTGTGCACGCTTGGTGACTGGGTATCATTCACACAAACAAAAAGTGCAAAATTGATGAGTGGGGAATAACAGAATACGGCCACATACTAGACTCAAACAAGGAGAGATGCAGTTTGGTCTGCTTTAGTATAAGTTTGAAGGGCCATCTTTAGAGTCACTATGGCCAGCACAATACAAGAATACAGTTTGTAATCATTTAATTATCAAACTATTCCTCATACTATCATGACAGAACCTAGAATCAGAATTATTGTAATTGCCATTGTAAGTAAAAGGAAGTTACACGTTACAACCCAGGAATTTGCTTTAGTATACGGTGCAAACAAGTTGTAAAAAATGTATAAAGGCATGCATACAAAGTTTAATTCAATATATAACTACACTCACAAGACATTTAGGGAAAAAAAATGATATAAGATTAAAACCATTCCTGACTTTTAGTGACAACAGAACTCCCAGATATTATTTTCACATAACATAATAGGGTAACTAAAGAGTTGCAGTCAGTTAATGCCCTTTAATAATGAATTGCTCATATGATTTGTTTAACCCTATGTCTCTCATAATTAATTGGCTTTTATTGAGTTTTATTGAAGCAAATGAAGTCTAACCTTGAGTGACTCGTCTCGTCTGCAGATGCTGATGTATTCTGTAACAAAACACACCAAATCCTGCATGTACACCTGTTGCTATTATACTCAACAAGCCTCTTTATAGTTCCAGTGCGTAGTGAGTGGTGGGTGAGCCGTGCGCACCAGTAGGGGGCCCTGTAAACTCGGGTGTATACTGGCGCCTGATTCCCTCCTCATTCCTGGAGGCTGCTGTGGTTAATTCATGCTTTGGAGAAGGAGAGATCCAGCCTTGTATTTTATCTCGTGTAATGCTTAATCAAATTGACCCAATAGAGAAGGCAGTAAAGAGGATTATCCCGTGAACATATTGCAGAGGAAACAGGAACAAAAACTCCAAGCGAATATTCAGAACATGTATATATTTGTACAATTGTTTGGCAGTAATGATTGGCCAGCCTCGAGTAACTTCAGCAAATATTACCAGATGAATTGAGTGTATAATATGGGATGAATGCTGCGTGATACAAAAGTTAGATTAAAGTTGTATGATGCATGCACAATCAGATATTGTTACATTTGCACAATAAAGGTGAGGTGTAATTTAATTTTCCCTTCAGGGATAACAAGGTTTGTAAATCCAACGAGAAGCCCTTTGTAATTTGAATACGTCTCTCCGCGTATGGTTCGCTACTCCATTTGAATATCAATACCGTCAGCGTTGCATGACTTTATAACAACTGAAATAGCGTTCAGTGGCCATGACAGCCAGGTTTTCCATGTGTATAAAAACAGCTCGCAACAATACGCTTCATTTTATGAGCTTTTACTCAAAGTGAACGGTTCATTATGTCTGGGGTTAAAATGTTTTTCTGTTTTTATTTTGGAGGACAAGTTAATACATCTAACTGGTCTTTCAAAAGAAAAACAACAAAATGTGTTTCAAACAGATTAAAGTCAATTCTTTTTTGTTCAGACTCTAGATCCACACTAAAACAAGAAACACAGACGCACAACAAAATACAAGACTCGCATAAAACAAACATGCAGACAAACAATGATTAAATATGAGGTAATAAAGGCTTGAATCAAACTTCTCAAAAGATTCTCACTGTCTTAAAACAAGATTTGCAAATGGGGCAATGGGACAATATAATGATAATGATATAATAATAATAATAATAATAATATTGATGATAATACTAATAATACTAATAATAATATAAATGTATGTATGTATTAGTGTGTATGGTTATGTGGCCATGCTGTGAAAAATAACAGTTTATAATAACAGCTATAACCTGAAAAGTATAGAGGTATCAAAAAGCTTTCATGCGGGCCCAGTTCCAGGACAGCTGAGCGCTCGTGCTTGAGTGATAGTAGTTTGAAGAAGCCGAGAGAGACGGAAAGACAGAACGCTTTTTGGTTTTTTTTCTCAGGCGTTAGATGTCGTATTGAGCAATGCTTCATACTTGAACCTCACCGTTTTCTCATGAGTCTTGTAGTCTTGCACCATCTTTTTGTAATTCGTCACAGACACGGCTCATTTCACAATTTACAAAACATTGTTCTTTACGAAATGTTGCAAGCCTCGATCACAGGCAGCGGTCGATCGCCGTTGTTTGCCATGTTGTAAATGTTTTTAGCATTGGACCACAGTCATCTCTTTAGTCTCTGTGATGGATGACAAATATGTGCCAAGAACCCGGCCTTGTTTGAATCGAGTCTGTGTGTGGGATTAGTTGAAAGCATATTTGTGTTAGTTTCATAAAGTTTCATGTTTTCATTATTTTTCTCATGAGAGTTTGACTTCCAGCAGCAGTAAAGCGATCAGACTGGTTTACACTTCCATACCGCTCACTCACTCAGCAGACCGCGGAGTCCTGAAGTATTGCCACACGATACATACCATATATGGAAGTGACGGTTTTCGGTAAACTAAATCCAAATGTAGGACACTAATCTACAATAATTTCAGTTATTTGAGTAAAACCTCTGTAACCTTGTTTGTTTGACCCAAAAATATTTTCAAATCCATGCAAATACTTTTTCTTGTTTTGTTTTTCATGTATTTGCTTTTGAGCATGTTGAAAATAAATTGATTCTAATTTGCAAATCTAATCCTAATCGTAATGTTCGAGCTCTGAAGTTTTTGATTGATTCATTTTTTTGTATAGCCCTGAATCACAATAGCAGTGTTCTGGGAGGACTTTACAAAGTTGTCAGTTCACGTACAGCAGATCAGAGAATCAAATAGTCAGAACTAAGGAAATACATGTTTGTGTAAACTCTCAGTCGTAAAGGGTTGATTCAAAACAAAGGAAGGCTGCTCACCCATCATCTGCATCTCCCATTCATGATAATTTTTAACTGAAGTACAGGAAATACAATACAATATATCTTTTTTTAATGTGCTGCTCAAAGAAAATTGCCCCTGATAGGATGAATAAAGCAGTATGAATCTGAATCTAAATCTGAAACAGTAATATCAAACACATACAAGTTATTGATCCATAGGGAGTAGGGCTGGGCAATAAATCAAATTTAGGCAATTAGTCGGCTTTTGAAAAAATCATATTTGTGAAAAATGTGAAAATCGTAAAATCGAGTGAAGGATATTATGAGAATTCCAGCAGTACGTGAATTATACTTGCAATATCCTCACAGTCTGTACAAGACTTTTATAATAGGTATTGGGAGAAACAAATTTAAAAAAGTTTTGAAACTTGAATATTAAAAAAATATTTTTAAGGGCAAATTCTGTCTTATGTGACTTTTATGAAAATCGATCTATAATCGAAATCGTCCAAAGTAGGAAATTAAATTAAGATTTTACTTTTTTGCCATACCGCCGAGCCCTAATAGGGAGTGTGGTATGCATTTCCATATGATAATAAATGTCCATAAAAGTCCTAGAGCAAAAAACAGCTCACAAAAAAACTTTTGGAAGTGAAATATCTCGGCGAGGCCTATAATGAGAGAGGGCACGCTCCCACCGACGGACCGGCTACAGAGCCAGGACTCAGGCTGTAGAACGAGGACAGAGGCCCAATAGATTTCATCAACAATGTTGTACTTCTAAAAGCAGTGTTACGTCATATTGTCTTTCTTACTTAAGATAGTTTTGCGTTTATATTTAGATAAATCATATTCACAGGCACCTGACATTGTTTCCTCGATCACAGACCCAGGACCTGCCCTTTTGTGTCTGTCTTTTTCAAAACTTCTGGGTTGTTCTTTTGGAATTCATATTTGTTATTATTCAGGCTCAACATAATCAAACAATTACTCTGCACTATTTTTACCTCCCTCTGCTGATTTTCATTACCTATGCCGTCAGCTCACAGGACTTTGCTTTTTGCTGTCTGTGAATAACCTTTTCCACCACAGCAGAGGTGACAGGAGCGGCGGATATTTGAACATTCTCAATTACGAATGTTAATTTAAACATGTGGAAATGTGGCCGGTGCTCACGCCGTGTCCGTGTGCGGCGTCTGTTCCTGCGGGCGGAGAGCGCAGAGCCGCGAGGACTTAAAGCTGCAGTTTGCATAAGATAATTGTATAAACAGAGCTGACACGCAGAGCTGGTCATCTTTATTCAAGAGGAGGACGTTTAGAAAGAGGTTAGCCGCACTCTAAACACGCAAGCAAATAGGTTGTGTTTGGGAAGAGTGACTGTTTATCCATTCAACAAATGATGGAACAAAAATCTTGTTTCGCCTTTGGAAAATATTGCAATGATTGTGGGGTATGCGGATACAATGAACCAGGGATGAAATGTATTCATTCTTACAGGATTTTTGTAAATTACCTATGCGTGATTTGTCTGGTTGTGATTGTGATCTGATTTATGACACGTTTTTAAAAATATGTATATCCAATGACTGTTTTCAATGTGTAAAAAACAAAAAGGCACAAGATTCCATTTCCACAGACCAAGATCACCCAAAGCACTTTACAATGGTCAGAGTTCAAATGATTGGTCATTCTCTTCACACAGTGTTTACAGAAGCAAGACGCTGAACACACTGCTGCATCAAAGCCTCCAACCAACACCGTCCATTCACTCACTCACTCATTACATTCATACCTGTTGTACCTGTTCTTAGTGGAAGGGGAAACCGGAGCACCCGGAGGAAACCAGAGCAGACATGGGGTGAACATACAACCTCCACTCAAGAAGGCCCTGTTTCAGCCAGGATTCGAACCCAGGACGTTGCTGAGAAGCGAGATTGCTATCCACCCCGTCACTGCGTTGGCTAGTATAACCGCATTCATAAAAGTACATTGCAAAAATGATCAATTATTAGTTATTGAATGCTTGGGTTTA